TTGGGATTATAAGTGTCTACCACCATATCCAGCTTCTGTTATACATTTCAAGGCACCAATGCACAAATTTGTCCAAGAAGCAGAAGGAACAATTCACAAATCATACTTGAGGCCAGTATTATCATGATACCAAAAGGAGACGTCAAAAGAAATGAAATTTCAGAGTAATCACTCATGATTCTAGAGGGGAAAATGCTAAGCAAAATATTAGCAATTTGAGAACAGAAGTATAGAGGAGGGATTTTTGTATCCTCACATGAAATGAGATTAATTGTAGGAATGCAAGGTTGGTTTTCCACCCAGTCATGTCAGTCCATGGTCAATATAGTAGAGAACAAAGTATATGTTTTGTATTTACAAGAGGTTTGTCAAGATATAACACTATTAGTCTAGGAGTATCTTAGCAGCCAATTAAGCCAGGCATGATTGGTATTATCCCAGCTATTTCTGTACCTGCAAAAAAGAAAAAACAATGGAGTATGGGGGAGTAGCTTACTGATAGAGAGCTTTCATACCTTGTCAAGGGTCTGCTTTTGGTCCCCTGAATTAAAAGACAAAGTTGCCAGGTGTGGGGCACACGCCTATAGTCCTAGCTATTTAGGAGGCTGAGATTTGAGAATCACAGTTCAAAGCCAGCCCAGGCAGAAAAGTCCATGAGACTCTTACCTCCAATCAACTATCAGAAAACCAGAAGTAGCACTGTGGCTCAAAGTGCCTTGAGCAAAAAAGGTCAGGAACAGTGCCCAGGCCCTAAGTTCAAGCCCCATAACACCAAGAAGAAAAAAAAGTTGATGAATATATTATTATGTATGCTTACATAAGTGTATATATAGAGACACATACATATAGAGACACATACATCTTTCAGCCATGCTCATCTGTTTTCTTTCTGGGAAATAAAGAATTTCTTGAAGACACAATGTAGTCATATAGGAAAAATTCTGTACAGGTAGATTAGAATATTCGTTGGTACTATTTGGTTTTATGGCATTTCTCCATGTCGGGTCCTATGGTGGTATTGAGAGTTTGAACTCGGGCTCTGTGCTTGGTGCTGTATTTGAGAGACACAACCTCAGTCCCTTTGGTTTAGGCCTCCCAATCTCTTCCTGTCAAGTAGTTGAGATTACAGGCATGAGCTACCAAACTTGAGCACTTGTCAGGATTTTTTAATATGATTTATTGTATTTACTTATTTTGTCTATTCATCTCAACTTTAGGATCTTAACAAATCTTGTAAATGTTCCTTATCTAGTGATTTTTTTAAAATAAAAAATACATAAAAGCTTGAAGTATGAAATGAAAAAGTTATTCAGGTGGTTTTGGATAGTTTATTGACATCTTCAGTTTTAGGATCTGTCTTACGTTCATTAAAGATTTTGAGACTTACATATTATTAAATTGGCATGCTCTTTGACCTGGTATCTTGTGAATCTTCATGCTTTCTTACTCCTGACTAGTGGTAATTCCTCCTGTACTACCACTAATTTTGGAAATTTGGCCTTAAGAAAGCTTGAGAAAAAGGAGCTACTGTTTGTAGAAAAATGTGATATACAGAGTACATTATGAACATATGAAACTTAATCTTTTTTTTTTTTTTTGCTAATTGATAATAAGAGCCTCACAGACTTTTTTGCCCAAACTGTCTCAGATCTCAGCCTCATGAGTAGCTTGGATCACAGGCATGGACCATTCATGCCCACCTGTCAATGAATAATTTTCATTCAATGAAGAAATACATTTAAATGCCATATCTTAAATTCTAGGATATGAAGATGGCAAGTCCAGGTAAAATTAAACAGAAGATCTTAAAAGCAAAAAAAACAATGCCTGTAAGTTGCCGGAAGCAAATAGAGGTCCTGAATAAGTCAAGAAATGTTGACACTCTGAAGAAAACTATGGGGAATAATAGTCCAACTGGTAATGAGAATTTAAGTACTGTGGTTATAAATAGCAAATACAGGCATTCTGAACATGGTAGTTTCTCACTGGAGTCTAACAAAAAACTAGTATTTTCACAGAAAAATGTGCACCCTAAGAATATACAACCACTAGAAGAAGTTACTGATTCAGAAACAAGATTGGAAAATGTTGCTGCCCAAGTCACATGTCTTTATCAAAAGCCAAGAAAAGCAATAGATTCCCTCAGCAAATTATCTGTACAGGAGACAAAACCTTCACAGAAAACACACAAAACTCATTGTAAAGACCAGGCAAATGGAATAAAATCCATTTTTGAATATGAAGAGAATTATAATAAATCTACTTGCTGTCCTCCTGCTGTATTGAGTGGTATAGTTCAAAACACCTTGGATAATGAGAGAAATGATAAAATGATTTCCAATTTAAAAAGAAACTCCAATTCAGAGTCTCATGAGAAAAGGCAAAATGGCATTTTAAGTGTAGATTCCTGTTTTGTGCCAGCTGAGAAAACACCTAACCTGGTCAGTTCAGTCAGCACTAGCAACTATGCTGCTTCCAATTCGAAGACTGAAGAACCCTGTAGACCCCATCTGTCAGCATTTCAAATTGTAAGCCTGCAGACTCATCACTTGACACTGTTTGTATTAACAGTAAGTATTTACATTTGAATCTGTTGGTGAAATTAAAAGTCAGTTTCCTTTGAGAAATTTTGAAGCTCAAATATACAAGTAAGGAATGTACCACGGGACAGTAAAAGATGACAATCACCTAAAAGTATTTTGTTTGTAGACTTTGTTGCTGGTGGCGGTTGGTGGTGGGTGGGAGTAGTGGTAGTGGTGGTGGTGTGTGTGGGTTGGAGTCTAGGGCTTGAACTCGGCCTGGACACACTCATTTGGCTTTTTCATTCGAGGCTGGTACTCTTACCACTTCAGTGGTAAATCTCATTAAAGTAGTAAGGTATTTACATTTGCTATTGAAGTGGATTTAACAGATAAGGCCCTCAAAATCATTTGGTTGATAGGAAAGACATCAGTGTTTCTCACTGGATACTCAAGGCTCATTTGCCTGTAGGGAGAATTTTGTATAGTTCTCAGATGATGTTATAAGTATCCAAATGGCCCATGGTAAATAGGTCCCTGACCCTTGATGTAGAAAATATCAACTTCATAGGATTTTTGTTTAGTTTACAAAGTAGTCATTTGATAACATAAATTTCAAATTCCTTAAAAATAAGATCACTTACTAAGAATATGTTGGCCTAAGTAACTGTTTATAAGAATACTAAAGTAGAGGATTTATTGGTTGTGTCTTTTCTTTTGATTTGCTTTACCTTTTTTGAAAGGATCTCTGTAATCTCAGTCCTCCTGCATCTGCCTCTACATCACTGCATTCAGCTGTTATGTATTATGTAAAAATTATTATTATTTTTTTTGTCGGATGTGGGGCTTGAACTCTGGGCCTGGGTGCTGTCCCTCAGCTCTTCATCTCAAGGCGAGCGCTCTACCACTTGAGCTACAGCTCCACTTCCGGTTTTCTAGTGGTTTATTGGAGATAGGAGTCTCACGGTCTTTCCTGCCCCGGCTGGCTTTGAACCACAATCCTCCTGAGTAGGATTACAGGCGTGAGCCACCAGCACCCAGCTTTATGTAAAAATTATGAAAGGATTATATCTGCCACCAGAGCTATCCCTAAGTTAGCCCCCAGTTAAAAAACAAGTAGTTTGTAAAAGAGTTGTTTTTATGTAGATACATTCTTCTTCTTCATTTTTTTTTTTAATGAAAATGCTACTGTCATTTATTTGGCTTATCTTTTTACTTAATGGGACCATAAATTAAGAGAATTCCTATTTCCTTCTTTAGAAGGAATCTTATTGCTGATCTTTATCTCCTCCAGGCCATAATCAAAAGAAGAGGATGTTTTCAGAAAACAAAGAAAATGTTAAACGCATGAAAACTTCAGAGCCAATTAATGGAAATAATTGTGTAGCTCTGGATAAGCAGACAGCAATACTAGAACTGGTAAATTGATGGGGCTTAAATACGTGCTTCAGCAGATACTTGGTTTTGATAAGCAAAAAAATATGAGAAGTTGGCTAATTTTTTTTATTTTGGGGTCCGGTTATGGGGCCTTAACTCTGGACCTGGGCGCTGCCCCTCAGCTCTTCAGCTCAAGGCTAGTGGCTCTACCACTTGAGCCACAGTGCCACTTCCGGCTTTTTTCTTGTTGCTTATGTGGTGCTGAGGAATCGAACCCAGAGCCTCGAGCATGCAAGGCAAGCGCTCTACCACTGAGCCACCTTCTCAGCCCAAAGTTGGCTAATTTTTTTTATAGTGACATAGTACAGATGACTAATGGAATTAGAGCATTAGTTTTTTATGCAACAGTCTCATTATCACCTTATTTGCTATTTAAAAAAATTATAAGCCAGTTGCTTGTGGCTCACACCTGTAATACTAACTACTCAGGAGGCTGAGATCTGAGGATCACAGCTTGAAGCCAGCAGGTGCAAGAAAGTCTGAGAGTCTTATCTCTTAAACTAAAAAACAAAAACAAAACCTCCAGTGGTAGAGCACTCGTCTTGAGCACCAAAGTCCAGGGAAAGTCCCTAGGCTCAGAGTTCAAGCCCTACAACTGGGAAAGAACTTAGCTATCATCATGCACCAAACATTTATTGATCCTCTACCAATCAGTAGACAAGGGAAAAAAACCTGAATTGTAACTTCTCAAAGACCATGTAGTTTGTTGATGGTAGGTCTCAAATTGTGTGATCTCTTTAATTAACTGTAGATCATCCAACGTTTGCACTGGGCTCTGTTTTTCATAGGAGAGCTCTTTCTTTTTAATGAAATACTAGCTTTCAATTATGGTCATTAAAAAAGAGACATGTAATATAATCTCATAGTTATGTGTGATATATTATGGAACAATTAGGATGTTAAAAAGCTAAATCAGTCAAAATAAACTTCATTTGTAACTTGTCTATATAAATATTGGGTGTGTTCTATTGATTTTCTCATTTTCCAAAACTTGATGATATATAGTAATATAAATAAATAGACATAAAAGTAACGTGCAATTTTTCATTATAGTAAATTCAGAAGAAACAGCTATTTTTATTTTTTTTAATTTATTTTTATTGTGAAAATACTGTACAGAGAGGTTACAATTACATGGGCAAGGTAATGAGTACATTTTTTTTCTTTCTTTTTTTGGGGGGGGTCCGGTCGTGGGGCCTGAACTCGGGGCCTGGGCGCTCTCCCTCAGCTCTTCAGCTCAAGGCTAGCACTCTACCACTTGAGCCACAGCGCCACTTCTGGCATTTTTTTTTTTTTTTGCTTATGTGGTGCTGAGGAATCGAACCCAGGGCCTCATGCATGCAGGGCAAGCGCTCTACCACTGAGCCACCTTCCCAGCCCCATGAGTACATTTCTTATCAAGCATTGTTGCCTCCTCCTTTGTTTCTCCTTACTATCCCTTCCCACCCCCCACTCCCAATTCATTTTTTGACATAATGTCTTGTATATCTCATTGTTGCAATGGGTCCACCTTCCCCTCCACAAATTATACCTATATCAAATACAGTGAGAACAGGGGTTATACCGTGGGGGAGGGACATGCAAAGCAACAAAAAAATCATCTTATAAATATGTTAGAAACAATAGCAAGAAAGAAAAAACATTTGAGTCCTTATCTTGGGCTTCATTTTGCCTAACATCAACTTATCTGACCATTTCTGCTTTTCTCAGATATATACTAGTTATTGCGAACAAGGGAAACTATAGGACCTATGTTTTTTTGGGCCTGGCTTACTTAATATAATTTTTTCCAAGTCTTTCCATTTCGTAACAAATGGGGGCAATGTCATTTTTTCTGATGGAGGCATACAATTCCATTGTGTATATATACCACATTTTCTTGATTCATTCATCTACTGAGGAGCATCTGGGTTGGTTCCATATCTTAACTATGGTAAGTAATGACAGCTATTTTTAAAAGTAGGAAATAAAGTTGCTCTTAAAACAGAAACCTGGAAGTGTTTTGTGTTTTGTTTTTAATAATTCTAGGTCAGACATGTGATTCGACAGGAGGTACATAGTATAGATTACAAACTATTTGATAGCAAACTGAATGAATTGAATGACCGAATTGGGAAGACACAGTGCAAGAGTAAACATGAAGCATTAGCTGTTCAACTCTTCGTAAGTCTCTAATTTTGTTTTAAAACATGAATTTGGGATCTGAGATATAGCTCAGTATTACAGTGCTTGCCTGAATTGCGTAAAACCCTGAATCCAATCCTTAGCACCGCTTGGATCCCAATAAAAGTAGAATTTGGTAATGTCTTATGAAGGACAAGTAATTAAAGGAACTTCCAAATTTGATTCCTGGGCATAGGACTTATTTAAGTTTGCATTGAGAATAGAGTTTATTATTGTCAGCTTATTATTGTCTCTTGAGAAATATACTCTTAGAACTATTAAGAATTCTACATCAATTGATGAGCTCAGCCTGGTTGGTAGTGTCTTTTCAATTTTAATATATCTTTTATTAGTGCGTCAGTAACTTGTTACAAATGCTCTAGGAAATTTTTTTACTCTTCTTGGGTTACTTGCTGATTTCTGTTAAAAGTTTTTCACAGCCATGCACTGGTGTGTCACGCCTGTAATCCTAGCTACTCTGGGGGCTAAAATCTGAGGACAGGGTCTAAGCCAACCGAGGTAGAAAATCCCCCAATGAAATTCCACCAAAAAAGCCAGAAGTGGGGGCATGGTTCAAGTGGTAGATTACTTGCCTTGCTTGAAAAAGCTAAAGAAAACAGCACCTAGGCCCTGAGTTTGAGCCCCAGCATCTTTCATTATGTATCCAGGATGGCCTTGAACTCTTTTTTTTCTTTCTTTTTTTTTTCTTTTTTTTTGTCAGTCATGGGTATTGAACTCTGGACCTGCGCACTGTCCCTTAGCTCTTCAGCTTAAGGCCAGCCCTCTACCACTTGAGCCACAGTGCCACTTCCAGGTTTCTGGTAGTTTATAAGAGTCTCACAGACTTTCCTGCCCTGGCTGGTTTTGAGCTTTGATCCTCAGATCTCAGCCTCCTGAGAGCTAGGATTATAGGCATGAGCCACAGGCACCCAGCTGGCCTTGAACTCTTGATCCTCTTCTGCCTCCCTTATGTGGACATGAAATCCCAGTCTCTTCCACTCTTGAGTATCTTGCAAGCACAAAAATCCAATTTGAGTCTTTTTTTTTTTTAATGTCGCCAACTCTCCATATCTGTGGATTCTGCAGTTGTGTGTGAATTTCATGGTGAAAGAAAGTAGTACCATGATGCTTTCAAATTGCAGTGAACAGGTTAACTTAGTTGTCTAGTGGGTTATGAAGTTTCTCATTTCTAATGTCATCTAAAAGATTTGAGACTAGTTACTTAAAATGTCTTATCATTTTACTTTTTATGTGTTCCATTATTACTCAGGTTTTAAAAAGAAAAATATACATAGATTGAAATATTCAGGTAAAAATGTGTGCCTACTGAATACTTGCAATTTTCTTCTGAGTAGATATCTAAGTATCACAAGATTTTTTTTAGCAAATTATTTTTTCTGTACCTCTCTTTCTTTAATACTGTGGTTTGATAGTTAAATTTTTCTTTGTTCCAGGAGAAAATATCACGATTAAAAAGACGTATTAAAACAGTATTACATCAGATAAATTGTCTGGAGCCAGAGACATTGTCCAGTAACACAGCACATGAGGTTGGTGACTCTTGTACGATTATAAAAGATGAATATATTGCTAGGCGAGAAGAGAATCTTTAAAGAATATTAGTATATTTTTACTATATATTTAGTGTATATTACTATATACTATATATACATGCACATATATATATAAAACCATATAACTATTTCTTCCAATGTTTTAACACATTTTTCAGATAAAATATGCTTATCGAATATATAACATTTCAGAATTCTGCCTTAATGTGTCTACTTTATTGTTCATGCTATCCACTATTGTGCTATCAGTAGATTCTTTTTTTTTTTTTTTGGTCCGGTCGTGGGGCCTGAACTCTGGGCCTGGGCGCAGTCCCTCTCCTCAGCTCAAGGCTAGCGCTCTACCACTTAAGCCACAGCGCCACTTCCGGCTTTTTTCTTTTGCTTATGTGGTGCTGAGGAATTGAACCCAGGGCCTCAGGCATGCAAGGCAAGCGCTCTACCACTGAGCCACCTTCCCAGCCCCAGTAGATTCTTATAAATTGGTTAATGTATACATATATTTTAAGTGCTATAAGTGTGAACTGAATGTTTCAGCCACAGTTTTCAACAAGTTCACCAGGTAGAAATGTGGTCTTTATTAGAAGTATAATAACTTAACTAAAAATGTTTTGTTTTGTTTCGGTTTTAGGTTTTGGGTTTGATGTGGGGTGGCGGTGGGCGGGTGGTGAGAGGCGGAAGTATTAGTACTTGGGCTTGAACCCCGGGTCTGGACACTGTCCCTTAGCTCTTTCACGTAAGGTTGGTACTTGAACCATAGTTCCACTTCCAGTGGTGGTTTTGTTGGTTAATCAGTGAAAAGAGTCAGATTTGTCTGTGCCTGCTAGCTTTGAACCACAATCCTGATATCATCCTTCTGAGTAACTAGGAATATAGGCATGAGCCATCAACACCTGGCTTGTTTTGTTATTTTCTAGTTCCTAAAACTTAAGCTAATAGAAATAAAATGTTGCCTAATGACCTGGGTGTTAATTTTCTCTCCTTTTCATGAAAGCTAGAAAGTTGTTACTTTGTTGTTCATTAAAATTCATTTTGGCAGAGAATATTCATCAGCCATAATAAATACATAAACTTTTAAATGTACATATACATACATGTAATTTAAATACCTATAATTTAATATTTTGCCATACATAGGCAAGAATATTTTGAGAGTATTTTCTATGAAATTTCACGTATAATTAATTTTACCCTCCACTCAACTGCTTTTCCTTCATGCATTTATTAGACTTCAAAGGCAGAAACTATGACTTTGGGTGAGAATCAAAAGTCAGTTGATAATCCAAATGAAAGAAAAACTTCTGTGAACTGTGCACCTGTTAAAGCAAGTAGAAAGATGAATTCATCGCCAGATTGTGTGGAGTTTGTTCCCAAAAGGTAGGCATTTCTGTTAAAATGCATAATTTTAAAAATCTAAACATATGATTATAAATAGAGCCATTTCTCAATGAAGCAAGATAGCTGAACAGTTCATCTTCGCAGGAACACTTTTGCTTCCTTGTGAAGGAAATTGGTTCTCTAAAGCCATTATTATTGTTTTAATGACTAACAGTGTGAATGGGTCAAGTCCTGAGTTGTTTTAGTATTTCCCACATCTGGTAAATGATTAATGAAACATTCATTCAGTTCTTTTCATGTTGAAAAAAAGTCTACCATGGTGCTTTCAAACTTCAGTGAACAGGTTAACTTAGTTAGTTGTCTAGTGGGTTATGAAGTTTCTAATTTCTAATGTCCTCTAAAAGATTTGGGACTACTTACTTAAAATGTCTTACCATTTTATTTTTTATGTGTTCTGTTACTGCACAAGTTTTAAAAAGAAAAAAATAGTAAACAAATGTAAATGAATAAAACAATAACATTGTTTCAGGAACACTGCTTTTCCTCTCCCTAATTACTGCTCATCCCCAGATGCAGTAAGACAATGGAGAAATGTTTCACATCTATGCATTCTCAGTAGATTCGTGGTATCTGGGCATTTCACACATAGAACTGACTCTTCACAAGCTTTCCTGATCATTCCATGATACTGATGTTCCTACTTTGGTTCTCAGGCAGGAAGCTTCTGTGAAGCAACTGCTGTGGTGCAGGCAGAGTCAGGTCTCTGAGTCTTTGTAGCACTCAGGGATATTTTTTTGCATGTTCTCAAACATAAAGTAACAAAAATTGAAAACAATATTCTATTGGTAGAAATGAAAAAGTGAAGACCTTTTTTTATTTTGGGTCCAGTCGTGGGCCTGAACTCTGAGCCTGGGTGCTGCCCCTCAGCTCTTCAGCTCAAGGCTAGTGCTCTACCACTTGAGCCACAGCACC